TGTACAGACCGAATATTCTATCTCCCTACACCAACACTACACCTAAACCTACCCCTCACAGGAAACTTTCTGCATTTTTAGATTTTCAAAAAACTTCATTCTGTGTGATTTATTAGCTTGTTTACCTGTGGGGACCTCAATTTAGGTCCCCACCGTGACACGAGTCCCCATGAGTCTGTGTATTCAGGTTTAAATCCCCACCAGAATAGAAAAACAGGTATACACACACACACACACACACACACACACACACACACAATATTAATCTTTATGACATCTTTAAGTCAACTTTAATTTTTTTTTTTTACAAACATAAATTTTTCTGAATTAACGGCATATTTTTACCTCTCAAACATATATTAGTAAAAATGCACATTAATAAAATATTGTAATATATTTATACTTTTTGTGTAGTTTTAAAAAATCATATTGACAGCATCCTCAGTTCCACTGATTTCCCAAAATATGTATGAGTGCAAGATGGCACAATCTATTTTATTTTAGCACTCAGACACGCTGTTTATCTCATATAGCGTCTGTAATCTTAGAAAAGCTTTGTTTTGCGGGACCCCCGCGGCAGAAGCAGCTCACCGTGGGCAGCGTGACGGGCGCTTCACCCAAATCCGCCTGTGCGCCCATCTGACACAACTGTTAGTCCAGATAAAGAAGACATACTCATGACAGCAGATCAACAGTTTAATAACACCTGCAGCACAAACTGTACCGAACTGCAGATATGAACTAACGTTACATTAAGAGAAGCACAACATGCAAGTTAGTGTAACTTAATCAGCTGCTGAAGGATATTCTGTAGTCGCTTCAGTAAAAGCGTTTTTCCTACTCCAGTTGCACCGAGCAATAAACACATCGCGGCGACCACTTCACCTGAAATTACTTTATCAAAACGAGAGCGCAGATTTCTGTTTTAAAAACGACTGACTCCTACGCATTAAATGGATAGATTTCCTGTGTCGCCACGGCAACGACGCTGTTTACACAATAAAAGTCTCCATGCGTCATGAGTGATTCTTTATTAGTGATAGGCGCCCTCTAGTGATCTGTAGAAGATTGACTCTGTTCCAAAAGTAATTATTAGTTTGCAGAAACCACGAAGTAAATTCTGTATACTGTCTATTATTGTAATAACCAGTGTTGGGGAAAATTATTTTTAAAAGTAATGCATTACAATATTGCATTACTCCATAAAAAAGTAACTAATTACGGTACTTAGTTACTATTTTATGGAAAGTAATGCGTTGCGTTACTTTTGCGCTACTTTTTAAATCTGCACAGGGCTTGCTTGTTTGTTTTTAAAATAAAAAAGTTATATTTTTGGCAAATATAAAAGCCTTTTCACACCAAAAGTGAAATGAATAAGCCTCAGGCTGAAGGGAAAGTAAATTTAGGTCCGTACAGTAGAATGCAGAAGAAGAAATTTCAACACACTTCAGCAATAAAAAAAGACACACAAATGTTCGTCTAGAGTAATTTTTGCTTATTAGTACGGTTGAACTGGATCATCGAAGGTCAGAAGCAAAGACATTGGTTAATAGAATGGGAATAAATACATAAATACATAAAGCATATTTGTGTTGTTTAACATTTAATTATTGCAGGTTTGCGTCATATTCTGAGTTGCATTATTTTTATTCATTTTGAGGAATACTGAATCTGTGTGTTTTTGTTTTTTGTGAGTGAGATGAATTAATGCATATTCATATTTATTTTAGAACTACAGTAACATCTCATCAAACATTGGTCCGACGGCAACGTCGTGTCCCTGGCCAAAAATAGTCGCGGTAGGACGGCATAAATCGGTAAAAATATGTAACACAGAACATTTCCTAAAAATGCATTCAGATACGTTTGTGCATCTCTACAGTTATCTGGGGTTGCATATATAATTGTTACCTTGACTTTTTTAGCTAAGTGTAGTACAATATGTATACCCTGTTGTGAATCAGTTGTGAGAACGTCCTCCACTAACGT